CGGGGGAGTTTGGAGGGCAGTGGGCAGTAGGCTCGAACCGCACGGTTTGCTGGTATCGACATGGTATAAATACCTTTTACATTCATTTAGAGATATTATAAGATACTCTAAGATAGAAATAAATATTTTAAGATACTCTGAATTAATATAAAGGATATTATAATATATTTAATTTTTTTCTATCAGTTAATAGGTTGTGTTTAGGGTTCGTTAAGGATTCGTTGGGTTAAAGCAGTTATAAATATGTATCTCTATCATTTATTTTGTTACAACTTTTTGAATGCAGTCTGTAAGACAAAGGGAGAAAGCGTCATTCCTATGAAAAACTTAGATACAAAAAGGTAGAAATTCATTTGATTGTGCTTTTGGAATTAGGGAAACCTTTGAAGGTATCAAGAGAACTGGAAAACACTTATAGATACTTTGGACTTCTGTGGTTTATGTATAGAGAGAGTTTTAGAGATGGAAAAACATTATGGTAGAAAATAGGGTTTGTTCTTGGAAACTTAGATGATTCTTTTCTTATAACTCCTTTGTACTATCTTGTAACAATTATTGGAAGTATAGTGAATCGAAGAGTTGATTTTCCGCCTAAAATATATTGGTTTGTACTAACTGGGTAAACAAGTTTCTTTGTGGTCTTGTCTTTTATCTTCCTCTTGCTTGCTGTGAATTTGCTATCACTGATTGTAGGTTATTTTGGTTGCTTGAGGTCATTTATTTTGGTCGTCATTATTCTTTTTCCTCACACATTAAATTTTTTGGTGTGTTTGAACTCTGAACAATTGTATCAAGTGCTTTGAATTATTCAGTTGGTTCTATATAACAAGTAACTCCAATCCTGGGACAAATGGATTTTGTTTACAAGTGAGCACCATAGGTTCTAAATGGTATATCAATGAGTTTTTTAGAGACAATAGTTTTGGGTTATGGAAATGGAATATGTAAGCAATCTTATCTCAAGATAAGTATATTGGAGCATTGAAGGATTAGGCAACGATACAAGCACGCCTAAAACATGCAGAGAAGACCAAGATGGTGGATAAAGCCAAAATTGACATTATTTTGTGCATCAGGGATAAGTTATAAGAGAACTCGATGGGACATGATTGCAACTTTGATGTGGGAAAAACTCGAATCATTATATATGACTAATCTTTGGCCCATAGGTTGTTTCATAAATAACAACTCCACTCATTCTTTATGGTAGAGAACAAATTTATAGTGGAGCAATTGACAGAATTGAACAAGATAATTGATGATTTAGAGAGTATTGAGGTAAAAATTGATGAGGATAAGACTTTACTCTTGTTAAGCTTATTATCTAGGTCCTTTTAACACTTCAAGGATGTCCTTCTTTTTTATAATGAATGTACTATTACTTTGGATGAAGTCTATACGGATGTGAGATTCAAATTTTCAAAGGTGAAAGATTGAAGATTCACAATAGTGGTGAAAACTTGAGTATCTCAACAGAAGGTTGTGATCATACAGGAATGTCAAAATCAAAGATGTTTAACAATTCAAGGTTAAAATGTTTCACTTGTTAGAAATTGGTCACTTCATGGGGGATTGTCTCAAGAAGAGAAGCAATGATGATTTTGTTCATATTGTAGTTGACTCAGATGAGAATAGTTATGAGAGTGTTGGTGCACTAGTAATTTCGAGTTTGGAGACTAGAGAGAATTGGATCATGAACTCAGGTTATTCTTATCACATTTGTCCAAGAAAAAAAATACTTTGAGACTTTGAAGAGAGAGGAAGGTTGACTAGTTTGCCTTGTTGACAATAAGACTTGCAAGGTTCATGGTACTAATACGGTCAAACTTAAAGTGTTTGATTATCCTGAGTTTCTTTTTCACATAGTGAGGTATGTTCCAGAGTTTAAATAAAATTTTTTATCCATAAGTATGTTTGATGATCTAAGCTATTGCATTAGAATTGAATATTGGGTGTTGAAGATTTTGCATAGTGGAGCGATCATGGCTAAATAGTCTAAAATAAGTGGTTTATATATTTTAAAAGTTTCTATTATTGTTATCCATTCATCATCAATTAGTGAACAGTTTCATGACAAGAATAAGCTAGGAGATTTTAGGTCAAGGCATAGTCAATTTCTGGATATTTTATTGAGCACTTTAATGAATTTTTCAAGAGATAATGGATTAAAATGCATTCATCCATTTAGTTAACATTGATTTTTTAGGTTAAAGCTTGTGCCAAAACAACTTACCGAGTCAACAGGTGTTCATTTAAACGAATATGCTTCCAGATACCTACGTTGGTCTTTAGTAGAAAACCTGGAAACTAATTTTATTTGAATATCATCAAAACTTTATTTATTTATCAAATCAAGCTAATTCATCTTGATTTTAAATTTGAAGATTATGTCTTCAATGGTTATCGATAAGGTGAAGACGTTTGTGGGTTGCAGAAACTAGAGGATTAGAGTTCACCATTTGTAGATGTATTACTTTTAGTAAGTCATGTTCGAGGAGGAAGAGTAAAAAGACCTGAAGATGAAGCTGTAAGAAACTATAGCAAAGAAGACTATGTTTGAAGTGGATACTAGTGGTAGCTAGGAAATTATTACAGATGCCTCTAATTTTCATTTGAATTGGGATAAGATAAGGAGGAAGATTGTATCATCTCAAATTAATGGCCATGTTGACCTTAGGTGTTATGCTTTAAAAGTGGTTGAAGGGTTGCAAAATTCAAAAACATGGATCTTCAGAAAGACATTTGAAAGTATGTGGGACCAAATATGGTTAGATAACCATGCCTGTAGACTTGTTAGATTACCTAAGCCTTAAATAATGATTGAAAGTAAGTGGTTAGATCAAGGTTAAGTGTGTCTTGAACTTAATCAAGGTTGTTGAATAATGAGTTTAACATGATAGAGAACAACAATGTGGTTGATAGATAAATTGGCATCACCACAATTTAAAGTCAAGGAGAAAAATTATAGAAATATGTCTTAAAATCTTAAATCATGAAGAGAGAAAAATGTTTCGAGATTGCCAAAAATTAGAACGCCGGAAAGCACCATAAAAGCATATCGAAGAGGTTGGGCTTACAGGGGCGGTGCATCGGGTAGTGACCACCACCAGCAACGAGAGCCACGGTGTGCCCGTCCTCCGACGTCGAAGTCATAGTAGATGTGGTTCGATGGTATCAAAGGAGTCCAGAGGGTGGCGAGTTTGATTAAACGAATGCGGCATAATCGTTTCACTTTGCATATCAGTTCGTTAATCTAGAATATTTTAAATATATTTTATCTTAATTTAGAGATACTCTAAGATATTTAGAAATACTCTAAGATACTAAATGGCATTGTAGATATTCTAAATTAATATAAATGATATTATAAAATATTTATAATTTTTTTTTATACTAACTACTAATGAGTTGTATTTTAGACAAAATTTTATGGAATTTTAACAATTATAAATATGTGTCTCTATCATTTTTTATCTTTATAACCTTCATAATACAGTTTGAAAGACATAGGGAGGAGGTGGCATTCGTATAAAAAACTTAGAGATGAGAAAGTAGAAATTCACGTCAATGTCCTTAAATTTTGAAAAACCTTTTAAAAGTATCTAAAAGAGAATCTGAAAACATTTATAGACATGTTGACTTGTGTAATTGAGAAAAAAATTAGGTTGAAAATATAATTTATTTGGAATTTTGGGTAATTATTTTCTTATAATTTTTTGTAATTTCTTATAAATTTTAAGAGTATACTGAATCGGAGAGTTTGATGGTTTGATCGAATTAAATAAGCAAATTTCTTTATATTCTTGTCTTTTGTCTTTCTCCTTGTTTAATGTGAATTTGTTATCACGGATTGTAAGTTATTTTGGTTGCTTTTAGTCACTTGTCCTTATTCCTTCTCCCCCACACATTAAAATCTCTTGGTGTTTTTAACTCTAAATAATTCTATGAAGTGTTTTAAATTATTTTACAGTTTTTCACAACATAACAAATAATAGTATTGATATTTCCAACACAATGAGGAAGTGTTAGAGAAACATTAACCCCTAGAAGTTATAGGATAAATGTAGTTGGAAGAGAGTTATGAAATATATGTTAAATAAAAAATTGAAGACTTGCAGCGAGAGCTAACTTCCATATCCACTTCCTATGATCTTTAGAATCATAATCTCAAACCATAGATGACAACCGATAAAACATGCTTCGATTTAGAAAAAACTTTATAGTAATCGGGACTGTCACAGATAAAATCTCAATCCACCGTATCAGAAATTTTTCAAAATCAAACTTATAAATAACACTGAACCAGAAAACTATCACAGTGCCTCGTATCAGCAACCTGCATAATTAAGCAGGCTCTTGCTGCAGACTCAATTCAAGCACATGTCTTATCTACATGTGCAACTTTGGCAAAATAATTCCAATAGTATGTATGAATGTATTACTTTGACTGCTAACGCAATCATATCATTATAAAATGTTTGAAATAATGATGGGTAAGAAAAATCTATGTAGCCGATTTCAACCGAAATATCTCTGTACATGTATTATTGACACTCACCATTGCAGCTAGATGATAAGGTATTGGTAACTCCAAGAGTATCACATAATCTCATCATTCAATTGGACAAACACATTAGACAAAATACAAACAACTCTTCTGACTTCAATCTGTCTATACAATCCAACATTTCTCTTGTTAGCAGCAGTTAACTATACTTTGAAAATCAAGGCTATAAAAACATCAATATTCAAAGCACAAACATAACACATCGGCGATTACTATACTCAACCTCACCAACCTGAAAAATTAAGAAAATTAACATCACAAAGATGCTACAATGTACACCAGATGCCAACAAGGAAATCGTTTGCCAGAGGAGACACAGACATGGAAATAGACTGACAGTCATCATTTGCCCACTTTTCCGTTCAATGACTAGGCAATCACGGGTTCAACTGCATAGATATCTCTATCATGTGATTAATTCAGATTGAACAATTTAACAGTCCGGAAGGGAGGTGGCAGACGCAAACGGTGAGAAGCTTGCGGCTGACTCGCTATGACGGAGTGGATGTTGCTGATGGCTGGATGAACCAAGGAAACTTACTGAACCGTTGCTTGGACTTGGAACATGTGAAGACAAGTATCTTGAGTTAAGAGACGACATGGATGGGTAACCATTGGAACGCGGTGAATTCATGTGTGAAGCTAGAGATCTTTGGGATGCGTTCCTAAGATCTACAGAGCTACGGCTGACACTGAGAGAGGGGGATTGGCGGTAGGACCTTAGAGATGGCTGCATGAAAGGGGTACTAGCTAAAGAGTGGTTACGCGAAGCAGATTGTGAATGTGAAGCAATTTGTATTGCTGAAGATGAAGCATAGGATGACCTCATAGAAGACATGAAAGAGGATGCCGCAGATGATGGGGATGATAACAGCAGAGGTGTGGATTCTGAAGGTGGTGGGTCAGACAAACCCGTTCTTGCATCTCGTTTGCAAACTGGGCAAAAGGTTCTCCATGAAGTAAGCCAAGAATCCACACAGACAGCATGAAACTCTGTCAATAATTCACCAGAAAGAAAGAAAAAAAATTAATTAAAATAATTCATAGCAAAGTCAAAATTTAATAAGCACAATATGCTAGTAACTCCAAAACAGGCTACATAGATTAACCTTCCTTTGAAACAACAGATAAATAGCCAGGATGCGTATAGCAAAATACAAAACAAAGAAAAACAAGAAATATAAAGGCCTCGTTTCATCAAGGGGCAAGGGTGATGATACTAAGATACCACAGTTCGAACAAGGGTAAGTGGGTCCCCCAGAAAACCTATTTTTGGCCAACAATATAAATCATTTCATGCTCTACTTCCATAAAACAACAACAACCACCAAGTTTTATCCCACTAAATGGGGTCGGCTACATGGATCAACTTTCACCATAATGTTCTATCCAGGACCATGTTACTGTCCAAATCGTTTATCTCGAGGTCTTTCTTAATAACTTCTCTTAAATCTTTTATAGGTTTTCCTCTATCTCTAGTTGCTTGACTTCTCTCCCTCTGATCTAGTCTCCTTACTACAGAATCTACAGGCCTTCTCTCTACATACCCAAACAACCTAGTCTACTTTCCACCATCTTTTCTACTATAGGTCTCAACACAGAAACAACATTTGGTACAATAATCAACTGCACAGTACATGTGTTACTTGAAAATAACAATACACTGAATCTGAAAAGAAAATAAATTTAACATGGGAAAACTTACTGTGACAACAGGGCAGAATCCTGAGTTTCTCTCCGGGGCAATAGTCTTCAAGGCAGATAGCACATGTTCTTGATGTACAGTTATCTTCCAAAGCAGAAGTGAAGATCAAACTTGGCATTGCTTTCACTAGGCGACTACTCATACCATGAAACTCACGAACATGAGAAGAAGCTCGAGGCCTTTCTCTTCTTATGCGATGCCTGCGGACGAAGAAACAAGTAGCCAGCACTGCAGACATAGCTAGCAGGGAAATAAATGAAATCGCCATAATAGACCATGCTGAGTTTTCAAAAGTTGGAATGAGCCATGTTTCCACATTTGTCAAACCAGCGTATTTCTTTAGTATTTCACCCGAAGCTTTTGATATAAATACCGCATGTATTCTTATGCCAGCAGCATTTCCTGCCACTGAAATTCAAAAACCGTGAATCAATAATTATCAAAATACGACTAAGGTAAGTACGTGTATATACAGATATATCAAAAAAAATCAATCCAACAAGAAATTATAGTCAATATCATTTCTTTCACAGCAGAATATACATGGTTGCCAAGTGTCAATTATTTTAATTGTTACCCTTAAGTTTTTCTAGAACTTTGTCCGATAGTTACCAACGTCCCAACCTCAACAAATACAAAGAATACCACATCTGAGGAGAAAAATAGACAGTTCTTTCTTTAACATTCAATTTAACAAAGGTATCAACCAACAAACCTAGACCTCGTCATCAAAAGAACTATTCTTCATTCCAGTTGTCTCGAGAGGCGTATATAAATTTAAGCATTCGACTGTTGATTACATGTTCAAGACTTCCATTCCCACCAGATAATGGAGGACACCTTTAATAGAGAAAAACATTTATTCTATATCCAATCCATTTTAAATTCTTACAGCTTAGCATATTCTGTAAACAGAGAACTACTCAAGCACTACGGAAGTAGCAATGCAAGATCATATAGTTGAAACGAATTTTATAAGTTCAGAAGATGAAAGTGAATCCCCAGTTAAAATTCAAAAAAATACTTCCAAATGACATTCTTTGCTTGCTATATACAATACAACTGAGGGTACAAATGTTTCAGCTGATAAGAATTTCAAAATATTGAATCAATATGCACTGCACTGCATCAAAAGCATCAACCCTGACATATGCTTTCCAAGAGACATTGTATTAACAAACTTGATTGCCAACTTGTAAATAAGACAATGTAATTTCATTTTAGGGTTATAATAAGCATACAACAACAACCAAGAACAACAACAACCAAGCCTTATCCCACTAAATGTGGTCGGCTACATGGATCAAATTCCGTCATAATGTTCTATCCAATAAATAATCACAGTAAAATCTTGAGCTACAGGAATTTCAAGATAATGAATATCTAGTTTATAATAAAACATTTTGCCAAAACCTGTGAGTGTGCCATACAACTCCTAAGCCTTCATAATGAGTCAAAATAAGTTTAATGACAATCGCACATTTTGAAGAGAAAGATAAATAACAAAATATTGCCACATGTAAGAATTGGTCATTACTTGCAACTAGGACGCCGCCATCTTCATTGTCATAGACTATTGCAGCTTTGTAGCCAGCCTTTTGTGCCATCCTAACCTTGTCCTCAAAGCTACACCCTCCTCTAATCATCAAAAGAAAAGGTGAACTAGTATTCGGAAATTGTTTAGCTTTATTTGTAACTTCTGTACATGCATCTAGCGGCTCTGCCAAGAATAACACTCCGTATTCTCCAGACCCTTTGACCGACGGAGCTGAAATCAAAAACCATTCATGTTAACAAAACAATACAGATAAATTAACATCAGCACCACCTTCACACGCAATACAATAATATTAGAACAATAACACAAAAGCAAATTTACATTCTTTTTCACCATCCTTCCCCCAATCAAAGCACAAGTTTAGTAATACAAAAAACCACAGTTTTTCTTTGGAATGTCAAGAACATGCTTAAAATCCACATCACCATCAAACTCAACAAAAACATTGGAACAACAACATCACATCATTGATCAAACGTGTGATCTTCTTTTTGTTCTTTCACAAAGGAAACACAAATTTAGTAATACAAAATCTGTTATAAGTACATGCAACTAAGTCTATGTTTTGCATGCTTCCACTCTTTGTTGACATATTCCAGAATCATTTCAAAACATTTTCTCTCTCTCCTCTATGAGATTTGACTTTTTCAACATGGCAAAAGCACTACAAGAGTAGAAATTTTCAATACTCACAAGTAACATAAACCAAAACCATATTCAAACAAGCTGAAATCAAAGCACATGTATCCAAATTTTAAGATTATTAGAAAAAATAAAAAACAGAAAGAAAACTCACAGAAATTAGCTTCAATATCATCGAACGAGAGAGTGATGTTATTCCCAATCAGAACCACCTTAGCAGCCGCCATAGCAGACAAAATCACCAGAGAGAAGAAAAACAAGCAGAGATTCGAGGTACCCATTAAAGCAATAGATTCGAAAAGCGCGAAAGAAAAGATTTTGGGATGAAAATCATACAAAGCAGAAAGTGTGGAGAAGAAATTGGGAAATTCGAAAATTAGGGTTTGGAAAAGAGTACAAAAAGAAGCGAAACATCAGCTTCCATGTCAAAAATGAATCTTCCCTTGTTCTATTCCTTCATGCTTTCTGCTCTCTCCAAATTGATTACAAAATTGAAATAATAATACTATGACAATAAAACGGGAAATAAAATATTGCAAATTAAAATATGTTTTTGACCCAAAAAGAAATAAATAATCAATATGTCATATCTTCTAAAGCTTCTTCTATTTGATCGGTACTTATTAACCATCAAATATTAGATATTGTTATTGTCTTATGTCAAAACAAGATTGTTAATATTATCAACAAAATTTAGAATTTTTATCTTGATTACTTAATTAACAATTTTTTGTGGGAAAAAAAATTAAAAAATATCACCATCACTATCTAATTCACTGGACCGGTTAATTCGGTTTTGAGATCAATTTTAATATTAAGTGATTTTAATCCCTTTCCAATTACAGTTGTAGAGAAATCTAATTTTGTTCAACCTATCAAGTCCAGTGTCAATTCACAAGTGTTAGGATCATATGGAATGACGCCTTATAATGCATATACTATGAAGATTTTAGAGGTTAAACGTTCACACATGTCCTCATTCCTCCATGTTAACCATCTTGTTTTCTGAAGTTACAATTGTGACTGAAGTTTATATTATTCTCTATTGCATTAAATTGTTCTCCAAAGGAACATCATGCAGTAAAAATGGTTTGCATGCCTACATATATTAGACGTGTTGTGTAACACTCTTCTCTACCTAACAATTAAAAGGCACATTTATTCACATCTATTAGAGTAAATTATTAAATTCAATAAAAGCAACCACAAAAGGGCGTACATTTCTTAATAACTCAAAACAAGTCAATGCTCCGTGTACAGCGGGTTTTTCCAAAATATATCAAAAATTACTCAAAGGCAGCGGAACTCAAAAGGTATAATCCAAGGTTTTCCTTATACGGAAAGATAATTAAAATAACTCAATTAAAACATAGACCCCAACCCGATGTTACACTATCAGAACAAGACCCTCTAAGTTAACCAAAAGGCTAACAACTCGAAACTTCAAAAGTCCTCAACGGCGTCCACGGCTAAACCTGGTCATCTGCACGTTATCCACGGGGAGGTAACATTCAAACAGACAGGGTGAGTAAAACGGTTCATAATAATCAATGTATGAAAATCAACATATAATATGGGTCATCTTCATATTCAACACATTCATATCCATCAATAGGCCTCAAAGGCCACAACATCATAAATTATTCCAAATGACTCATAAATGCAAATGCAACAAGACTCAATGCATGTGGTACCAATCATCACAGCGTGATGGACACTGGGTCATCAACCCTCCATAGATCCCCATCAATAGGATCGATTCTAATAGGATAGATTCTACTAAAGAACCGGAGCAAATCAAAACACTTCACATCCACACAATGGGATTGAAGGCAAAGTAATCGAGGTCCTAAACCGAAGCCCTGATGCACATGAATGTATGATGCACACTTCACAAATCATCCTCATAATAACATTATAGGTGCATCATCATTCATCATATTCATTATCATCAAAGGTCATAGCTCATCATCATAATCATCATCATACATCATGTCATCATAGCTCATCACAATAATCATCATCATACATCATGTCATCATAGCTCAACATAATAATCATCATCATACATCATGTCATCATATAATCATGTAAAAATCACATAGCGCTCACAATCATACTCATATTACTTCATCATATTATCACATATTATCACATATTAATTCATAAATATACTCGCGGTAATCCTCATACTATCGCCTATTAATACATAAACTTCACAGTCCTACTCATGTTAATTCGTCAAAGAAATCACAGAATCAAACATCAAAGCATCGCTGCACACGATCAACATTCGCGAAACTCTGCTATGTTCGCTGGCATGTTCGCTAAGTCTGGGGCGAGTTTCTTCGCTAGGCGAGTCTGGGAACATCATGGTTCGCTAAGCGAAGCATTATTCGCTAGGCGAACAGTGCGATGACAGCAAATTCTGCTACGCACCAGAACCTAAATCCACCCAAATGTCTACACGATTCACTTCCCCAATGCCCCCAAAATATTCCTAAATCATCCCTAAGGTCTTACAGCGATAAAGGCTTAAAACCTACGGTTTATTAAGCCAATCTCGTATCATATTCAGGCCTTAAATCATAAATTTCCCTACAATTACCCATACTCATTAGAATTACTCAATATCTAATATTCTCATCCCTTCTAGGTTAGGCAAATAACAATTAATAGTTTTTGGCCACGAAGGCCTAACTTTCTTTTTCCCAATGAATTCCACGGTTAGATTTACAAATAATAGATTTAGGTCACGAAGGTCAAAGATCACTATTTCTCATATCTACCATCAAACTCTCAGGAATACTTACCACTACACCACAATCATTAGAATCATCAGAGTTCTCACTATCAAATTTCCATACAGGGTTAGACCAATGTCAAATCAGAGTTTTGGACACGAAGGATTAAGGTTCCTTTTTCCCCAATGAACCACGGTTAGATTCACTAATGATAGGTTTAGGCCACGAAGGCCAAAAATCCCTTTTCTCATTATTAACCCCAAAATCCCTTAAACCTTAAATCGAACTTAAATACGTTGAATGTACACATAGAAGATCATGAAAAGCAATACTCCCCATGTCTTAATTGTAACAGCCCAATTTTCAATAATTAGTTATTTCCATTAATTAATTGATTTATTTGGATTATTCTAATTATTTGAATAATTAGATGATTGTTCAATGGATTGGTAGATGTTTTGAGAGAGGAAATTATTTAAATCCCTTTCACCGCGAAGTCGCCATTTTCTGTTGCGGTTAGAATATGATATCAAATTATTAATAAATTTGAATCGCATCTTTAGTTCACAACCGCTCTTTGATTTATCTGAAGGAAAAGGTCAAAAGAGGAAAACCTAATTTTGCATCGTAAAGACAATGCGGGGAGAGATCTAGGTAAGGGGTTGGTTAAGCTTAGGGAAGGTACTAGCACCCTAAACTTCTGTAGTACTCTACAGGAACCTTTTGTTTATTGTATGCTTTTTTATTTTATTATCTATTTGAAATATATTGCTAAGGGATAGAGTGACCTAAAGACCTAAGGGTTATTCCTAAGTTTACTCGGCAAGACGTCGCATCTTGTGCCTACATATCCTAACGGGAATGGAATCAGAGTAATTGTAGTTCCCCTCGAAAGGGAGGTTAGAAACGTCTTGACTGTGGTCAAGGTTTCATTGGGGAGTAAGCGTTCATAGGGAAGCGCCTACGTGGAGTCTTGAAACTCCTATTTCTACGTTGAAATTGTTAATTGAAATTAGGGTTAAATTAAATATTTCACGGCGGGAAACCCTAAAACAGAGTACGGCGACTCTTTGACCTAATGCTAGGGTAAAGGGTATTTTCGTCCACGGCGGGACACCTAGGCGATTAGGGTTTTGAAATGGTCAAACGTTAGGGTTATTGACTCGGCGGTCAAACGGCTAGACCTAATTCCTTCGGAGCGATTCTAACGGTAAAAACATGCAAAATACGACAAATTACTATTCGGCAGAATTAAAGTGCGGAAAAATAAAGAAAGCGGTAAAAAAAAGCATCGCGACGATCACTCGCGTAAATTACAAATTCCCAAAAAATGCAAAATAAAATAACCGCGACCATGGCCTCGCGTAAATTACATCCATGGAACAAAAACGAACAAATGAAATAATAACGAGTTGAAACAAACAAATTAACGAGGGTTAGACAAAAATGAAACGGCTAAATCAAAACTTATTTCTTTTTGAGTTTTTATTGAGAAGAGGAGAGGAGAATTAATTTCATGCTTAAATGGAGAAACTATTCTAATTATTTACTAAAAATTTTAATAAAGAAACTGGTTTTAATTTTAATGAAAAAATGTCTTGAAAAAAAATGTTTTAATGTTATCGAAAATAAATGTTTTAAATTTTAATTAAAAAAATGTTTTAAATTTTAATGAAAAAATTTGATTTAAATTCAACGAAAAAGGTTTTAATTTTTGTTTTAGTGAAAGAAAGGTCATTTTTTAATTTTTGTGTTAACTTAATGAAAAATGGTTTTAATTGGAAAAAAGCTTTAATTAAGAAAAACTGTTTTATTTAGAAATATGTTTTTAAATAAAAAATGATTTAATTTTTGAAAAAAACTTTTTAGAAAGATCTTAATTTTTAAAAAACTAATTACGTTATGTTTTTTTTTTGTTGTTGAAATAGCTTACCTAAACTTAATTGCATTATTAATTACAAACTACATAGTTAATATAAATGAAAAAATAAACAATTGAATAATAAAATAAAAAAATGAAACGTAAATAAAAAGGCTTCTGCCGTTTTCTCCCTGGATGACTATCGAAGCTTTTCCTCTCCTTCAATCCTTGCATGTCATCTTCTATTTATTCTTCCCATTAATCTACAATCAATGAACAAAACAACACACAAAAATCATAAAATGTCGTAAATCAAAGGAAAGAGAAAGCTTACGGTAACGACGATGATGTTGAACGAACTGAGCCTCCGCCGTTGGGACTTTTTGCTCGCCGGTAGCGCTTGGCCGATGATGAATTCAAACTTGTTAGGGTTCTTCCAAAAAAATTCCTTCTTCTGATAAATCGTGAGAACGGCCGCCGTTTTTCTCTTTTGTCTCCTCCTCCTTTTATCAAATGCAACTCATGTTTATATAGGTAACAAATTAGGGTTAACTCTAACCTAATGCCTATTTTAAAGCCCAACTTAAATAATTAGTCAAAACTAAAAAAACAAACTATCTCTTTTGTCTCCTCCTCCTTTTATCAAATGCAACTCATGTTTATATAGGTAACAAAT